TGAAATCCTTACTTTACCATAGCATAGTCAATCGCAACTAGAGCAGGCCCATTTGAATCAGTGGAACTTATGGAGAAGTTGATGCACCAAATGCCTACTGATTTAATGGGCCTGCTGATTTAAAGGGGACGTCAGAGGATGAGATGTTTGAACAGCATCGTCAAAGCTACCAACATGAATTTGACCCAACTCCAGGAGGCAGTGGAAGAAAGGAGGGCCTGGCGTGCTCTGGTCCATGGGGTCACAAAGAGTCGGACACGACTAAACAACAACAAGTTGTAACTTACTGCGGAAAGCAACAGGATTTCAGCCAAGAAGTTTAAGAAGGTCTTGTATTTGCCTCTCACATTTTGAGAGACATTAAACAAACTCCTGCTTTTGATAAAAGTTAAATCATCCCAAGAGCGATAAAGAGGGCTGATTCCACCATTAATTAGGTGAAGCTCTAGGTTGGGCAGCAAACACTGGAGATCGGAGAGAGACCATGTTAATACATAATGAACTGAACAGTAGGCTCTTTCAGAGTATGTTCTTCACATTGCCTAATTTAGGGCTGGTGTTATTGCTATTTTTCTCACCATGCACACAACATTCACCTCAATTAGAACAATGACAACATCTATCATTTTCCATACTTTTTATCCCTCTTGAGTGCAGTTCCTTTTATTGTTTAGAGAAGCAGAATTTAGCATCATGAAGTTCATTTCCACCATCACAGAGAGTAGTCAACAGCTTTCAAGTCGGTTGTCTATTAGTTTCAAAAACAGAGAAAAAAAAGCTCTAAAGGAGACATTCCAGTCAGGGTAGATTTAATTTAATTCAAACCAATTTAAATCACAATTTAAATTAAAATATGGATTTTTGACCATTTAAATAAAAATTGATTTTTTATTTTTTTATTTTTTTGGTTTAGATTCTGGTCCAGCAGAAAAACAGCCAATCGGATTGAGTTTGCCTGGCCCAGACTACATCTAGGAAAAGGAACTCTTCCTTTCAGAAGCTGTCTCCACACAAAACTAAAACATACAACACATTTCTAGACATCGTATTTGTCTACAGATAATACATGTAATTGTGTGATTTGTTGCCTAGGGTAAATATAGTCAACCAGCTACTCATGGGAATAATGAGGTGAAACCTTCATATTTGCATAGGGATATGTTTTGGTCATTATGGGATTGGACGTTTGATCTGAATGATTTCTGGGAGTACCCCTCAGCCCAATCAACTCCTTATTGGTTGAAGCAATACCATGGCTCTCCATTGATTCTAGCTCAATGGGGAGCCATGGTATTGCTTCAACCAATAAGGCTAATTTCTAGATTCCCTTACAAACCTCTTTGGGAGCTGTGAATTTTGAGACACTTTTATATAAGTGCTGGACCCTCGAAGCATGATACAGATTAGAGATGTGAGGTGGAGGTTGTGATAGATGGTGCTTTGTCTGCTGGTTTGGACTGCTTTGGGAACAGATTGATTTGTTTCTTTTTCTGGTGATTGCACAATGTACAAGCAATTGTAAACTAGACCAATCCTTATCCATGCCTATTGGAGATGGAATATTTGTATTCATGTCCTGGAGGAGACGAATGCAAATATCACCACCAAAGGTGGCCGGGCTAATTGGACACACACACACACACACATACCAGAACTGGGCCATCCACTTATCACTTGCAGCACAGCCCATTGTTGTTCACGCAGTACCAATCATGGAAGTAGCCCAGCAGAGGCTTCCTCACCTCCCTGTGCTGCTGACCACTCAGCGGTTAAGTAGGGAGGCTCGTCATCCTGCCTCCTTGCTGAATTGCTCAGCAGCACAGGGAGGTAGGGAAGCCCTGGCTGGGCTACCCATACCTTTCTGGATCTCAGACACCGGCTAATTTTTTTTAGTGCAGGTAGGATTGCTCCATCTTAGTTTGATTCCAGCATGCTAATATTGATTCCAGCATTTAACTAACAAAAGCAGATCACTTAATATTCACTTTGCTTAAGCCATTATAGACTCTAACCTCTGTGCAGGTATGACATTAATAAATTTACAAAAAAATTCAGATCCATCCTGTTGGGGATACTGGGTCATCACAGAGAGGATCCAGTCACCACTTAGTGACATTTCCCTTGTGCTACCTGGTGTGGGGATTCCCAGGCAGGTTAGTGCACTAGTGACTGGGAAAGCTTCCTGTGAGTCCTCCCCATTATAGACTCTAACCTCTGTGCAGGTATGACATTAATAAATTTACAAAAAAATTCAGATCCATCCTGTTGGGGATACTGGGTCATCACAGAGAGGATCCAGTCACCACTTAGTGACATTTCCCTTGTGCTACCTGGTGTGGGGATTCCCAGGCAGGTTAGTGCACTAGTGATTGGGAAAGCTTCCTGTGAGTCCTCTTCCTAAAATCCTCTGAGCCACTTGCTTCTTGACGTTTCAGGGAGATAAAAACAAGCAGGTTGTTGCTCCTGGTTGCAAAGCAGAAGTGTGAAAGACCCACAAAAGTACTCAAAAACCTAAGTGCATAAGAAACCAGATTTAGTACCTTCAGCCATTCCAGTTGCTTGAATGAACACAGCTGTAACATTTTAATTTTATTAAAAATAATTTTGGCAAACAAATAAATTCAGCAAAAGACTTACTGACACCAGCAGTATGAAGAAGTTACAATAAGAAATAAGAACAGTTTCTGAATCTGAGGCGAGTAGAGTTTAACCCCACTGAAAACAAGAAAGCTATCTAGATCTAACTGTACTTACAGAGCATAAGCAGAGTTCAGCATAACAGCATTATTGGTTACATAATGAAGCAAGCATGAAGAAGTTCTTGCTAGAAACTGCTTGCCTAATTCATTGTTACATTCCACCTTATATCCCCTCATCCCCTCATGAGCTGACTTGGATGTTCCACTGATCAAATAAGATCACTTGATTGGCTTCTGGTGTAAATACACACCCCAGATCTTCACAGGCGTAAGGAATTCGTGCATCATGAGAAGCTAGCCATGGGCCTCATCTTACAAGACACGCCAAGGTCATAGATAAAGTTTTGTTCCATTTTGTTCCATAGCAATTCCAGAACTCTCTGCCAAATTAGCCAAATTTATTTTTTTCAGTCAGCTCATCTCAGCCAATTTACAGAATTTAGAGAGATGGTAAGACATGGAGATAATGTTTAATCCCATTTCTACTGGTTTCACAACTCCCGTTCCTCACCACAGAGAAGAGACAGAAGAGGATGTATGATGGAACCCGCACCTATTTTGCCTAGCAACAACAGATGAAACATGATTGGCTGGAAGTCAGAACCAATCCAGAGGTGCCAGCAGGTGATATAAAAATACCATTTCCCCCAAAATAAGACCTAACCTGAAAATAAACCCTAGTATGATATTTCAGGATGTTCATAAT